GTTACTGGTGCCGAACTTCTTTCACTGCCCCCACCCCCTGGCAGTTTCCTGCTACTGCCAATCCTTTTCTTATACTATTAGGGTAATTGTTCAAGGTCCGCTTATGAGTGAGAACATGTGATTCTCAGTTCTGTTTCTGTGATTCATCACTCAGTGTTCTAGACTCTAACTCCATCCAGGTGGCAGTGAAGTTCATGACTTTGTCCTTCTTTATGGCTGCATATGTACTACATTTTAAAAATCTAGTCCTCTTTCAATGGGCAGCACAGTTGATTCCATGTTCTTGCTATTGTGAACAATGCTGCAATAAACAAGTGTGCAGGTATCTTTTTTAGAGAGTGATTTGAGTTTTCCTGGGTATATTCCCAGTAGGGAGATTGTGGAGTCATATGGAAGGTCTATTTTTAGATTTTTTAGTAATAACCACACTGTTTTCTATGGAGGCTGTACTAGTTTACACTCCCACCAACAGGATAGTGTTCCCTTTGCACCACATCCTCTCCAGCATCTGTTGTTTTTTGAGTTATTGATGATGGCCATCCTGACTGGAGTTAGGTGGTATCTCAGTGTAGTTTTAATTTGCATTTTTTGATGACTAGTGAAGCTAAGCATTTTTTCATGTATCTGTTGGCTGCTTGTGTTTCTTCTTTTGAGAAGTGCCTATTCATATATTTTCCCCACTTTGTAACTGGCTGTTTGTTTCTTTCTTTTTTGACATGTTTGAGTTCCTTGTTAGGCCTTTGTCAGACATACAGTTGGCAAATAAAAAGGAGTGGTCAAACTAACATCCACAGGTCATATTTGGTTTGTTTTTTGTACAGCCAGAAAGTTAAGATTGGTTTACACATTTTTAAATAATTATTCAGAGGGAATTCATAAAAAATGGCTGCCTAGAGTTGCCCAGCACTTGCCTCCTCCACAAAGAAGGACTAAAACAACAAGTTGACAACCACATGTGGAACAGAGTACCTAAGAGAAAACACTGGAAATCATCAGGGACATAACAGGTACCTTCTGAGGGACAAAAATGTGAGATGACAGCATAGAAAGAAAAGGAAATGTAATAGCCAGCCAGAATTGACTTGGAGCCAAGAGGGACTTCCCATTACAGGGAAAAGATAAGAGAGTCCCAGCAGTCCACATAACCTCCACAGATGATTGCAATCCTAACTACAGGAGAGCACCTCAGCCTTCAATTCCTGAGTCCAATTAGGGAAATGCCTGGGGTCTTTGTGACTGCATTGTGCCAAAGAGAGAATTCACCCTGGTTTTTACCCACCCCATGGGACCCAAGCTGCAGCGCAGTGTCATTTTGAGAGTAGAGCCACCACCACTGGACTGCATACTGTACTGAGGCCCAAGAGTCCCTGTATCTCCACATACCTAGGTTTTCACTGACATAACACCACACCTACCCAGAGATCTGAAGCATCACATCATATTCCCAACCCCTGAACACACTCCAGGGAACAGGTAGTCCAGCACATAAGAAAGGCTTCCCTTAGGACATAGGGACCTGAAGTACATGCTCTCCAGAGTCTGAAAATCCCCAGCCTAAGGCCACTACCATCAACAGTGACTTTATCTCAACCACTGGAAGGAACATTGCACTCTCAAGCATGTGGGCAGCAAACTTAAAGACTGACCTGTCAGAAATATCATAGCAACCACCACCACTGGTGCCTGCACATACTTCCCAGGAGTCCAAGGAACAGACCCCCTGAGGTCACCACCTCAACATTTAGAGCCCATGCATAACACCTAGGACTAGCCTGCCCACACTACTACTGCTACCACCATAGCCAGCACCTGCACAGGTTACACAGGCGCCCAAGACCAGCCTGACCAGGCCACCGTCACTGACATTGCTTATTCCCAGGAGCTTGAAGACTGGCCTCCCTGGAGCCCACTGGCATCACTACTGGTGTTCACTCACACCCCCCAGAGACCCAGTGACTGACCTGCCCAGCATCCCTATCCACAGCAGAGACCACGGCCTCACCACAAACAATACCATACTAAGGCACTAGAATTCTGACACTGATGACAGTGACTATGGCCAAAGAAACACAAAGACTATGGCCAAAGAAACACTATTGCAACTACCTGGAGCAAAATCCAAAGTACCCCACTCAAACAACACTATATGTTTAAGTGAAAGTCTTTTCCTATGAAAGTTGCTTCATAAAATTGAAAGAAGCAACTGTTACTCAAAATGATCAATGTAGGAACACAAAAACATGAAAAAGCAAGAAAAAAATGACATTTCCAAAGGAACACAATAACTCTCCAGTAGCAGATACCAAGGGGGAAAAAAATCTAAGAAATAATTGTAAAGGAATGCAAAATAATGATCATAAGAAAACTCAGTGAGATATAAGAGAACACAGATTGACAACACAAAGAAATCAGGAAAACAATTCATGATCTCAGTAAGAAATACAACAAACAACGACATAAATGGGCAACCCCCAGGTCCCCTCCTACTGTGGGAGCTTTTCTAGCGTCTCAATAAATCCTGCTTTCTCAAAAAAAAAAAAAAAAAAGACATAGATATCATTAAAAAAAAAAGAACTAAGTAGAAATCCCAGAAGTAAAAAAAAAATTAAATAAATGAAAATACAATGAATAACTTCAGCAACAAAACTAACAAAGCAGATTTTCTAAATTGAAAGACAGGTCTTGAAATAACTCAGTCAACCAAAAAAATACAAATGAATCTAATGTAAAATATGAGATATCAAGTGAACAAAGAGCATTTTAAGACCTCCAGAAAAAGAGATAAGAAACGTTAATAGAAAACATATTCAATGCAATAATAGCTGAGAACGTCCCATGTCTTGGGAGAGAAATAAGCATCCAGATACAGGAAGCTCAAAAATTCACAAAATAGATTCAACCCTAAAAGATACTCTCTGAGGCACATCACAGAGTGTACAAAAACAAAGAGAGAATTTTTAAAGCTGAACAAAAAAATGGCATCAAGTCAGAGTTGTCATCAGGTTAGCAGTAGATTTCTCAGCAGTAATCTTACAGACCAGAAGAGCATGTATGATATATTTAAATTCAAAGTCTGAAAGAAAGAAAAAAAACCTGCCACCAAGAATACTACACTCTGCAAAGCTACTCTTCAGATAGGAATGAGAAATAGCATTTCCTAAACAAGCAAACATTAAAGACACTTATATATCTATAATTTTGAAACTATAAGAAAGTATAAAGTCACTGGTAGAGCATTTACACAAATGACAAAGATAAAAGAATAAATGTTATCACCAAAGAAAATCAACAAATCACAGAGACAAAAAATAAGAAGGAGAAAGGAACAAAGATATATAAGACAACTGAAAAAACATTAACAAAGTGATAGGAGTAAGTTCTCACCTATCCATAACAACCTTGAGTATACCTGGCATAAATTCAACACTTAAAAGATATTGACTAACTGAATGATTTTTAAAAATACCATCTATATGCTGTCTACAAGAAACTGATCTCACCTATGTAGACACACTGTAAAACTAAAGGGTTAGAAAAAAATATTCCATGAAAACAGAACTAAAAGTATTCAATAATAGCTATATATACATCAGAAAAGTAGGCTTTAAGCCAAAAGCATAAAAAGAGACAAAGAAAATCCATGTATAATGAAAAAAGGATCAATTCAGCAGGAGGATATAACAATTACACATCTATATCCATCCAATACCAGGGCACCTTGATATATGAAACAAATGTTATTAAAGTAAGAGAGAGAGAGATCCAAGATTTAATAAATAATAGTTGGAAATTCACCACCACCTATTCAGCAGTGAATAAATCATCTAAACAGAAGATCAACAAAAAAAAATCATATGCAAACTGCACTATAGACAAAATGGACCTAATAAACATTTATAGAACATTTTATACAGTAGCTGCAGAATATATAACCTTCTCATTAGCACATGGAACAATCTCTGGGACAGACTGCATGTTAGGGCCCAAAGCAAGTCGCAACAACTTTTTAAAAACTGAAATAATATCAAGGATCTTCTCAGACCACAATGAAGTAACATTAAAAATCAATACAGTAGTACTCTGAGAATTTTACAATGATATGGAAATTAAACATGTTTTTGAGCAACTGTTGAGTCAATGAGAAAATTAAAAAGAACACTTTTGCTAGGTGTGGTGGCTCATACCTGTAATCTCAGCACTTTGGGATGCAAAGGCAAGAGCATTGCTAGAGCCCAGGGGTTCAAGACCAGCAACATAGCGAGACCTCATCTATTCAATAAATCAAAAAATAGCCAGACATGGTGGCGTGTGCCTATATTTCCAGTTATTTGGAAGGCTGAGGTGGAAGGATCACCTGAGCCCAGCAGGTGGAGGCTGGGGTCGCCGTGAGTATGCCACTGCACTCTTGGGTGATGGAGACTCGGAAGGAAGGAAGGAAGGAAGGGAGGAAGAAACATTTTTAAAACAAAGAAAAATACCTAGGAATAAACATTT